CACAGTAGAACATCAACTATTTGTAGAATAAATGTTCCCAAGTCATCTGCTGGTACAAGTGCCTACTGGTAATTTTCCCCTGGGGATTTATTAAAATAAAACACAAGTCCTATTGTACCCTGGCAACATGCTCTTTCGGCCTTTTTGCTCCAGAAAAGGCACATTGGTGGAGGAACATCATCATTGTCTTGGCGTCCTTGGGAACCCAGAAAAGCCTAGGGGAAGAATACTGTGTTCTTTAGATGTTTTCCATTTGCCAGTGAGAGACCCTACCAGTGAGGCTATGACTGAACACCGTGAGCCTGAGACCTAGTTTCAGCATCTGAGTAGCCAGCTGAGTAGAGCAGGATTCACAGAGAGATCTGGTCACACAGAATAGCTTCATTTGGGGTTATACTCTGGAATTCTGGAGCCCACTCTCTCTCCATGGGCCACTGTGACTGCTGCTTAGCTGAGAGGTTTAATAAGCATCACTTGTTCTCACCTAGTACACACTTATGGAGGTGGATTTTTTCACACAGCAAGGGCACTGTGGCATTTCAAAACCACATTACTGCTGCCTTGATCAAGAAACAGCCATCTTAGCATTCATAAGGCCAAGAGTGGACCCAAACTGCCGAGAACCTGTTCCTTCAGATGCCTCTCAGACCTGTGCTCCTAAGAAAAGGCTCATTCTCTATTAAAACAGTGTCTCCAACATGAAATGAGAAAGTAAAAGATGGATCCTTAGCAAAGAATCTTGCCCTTTCTCTTCCCTTGACCTGCGCCAACACATAAGCACACAGTTACAAACAGGTATTATCAATTCTCTCATTGCTCACTGGGAAAACACACTGCTTTCAGTGTTTTGATATGTAAAGCATGCATACACTATTCATACACTATCTTGGGTGGAGGGCAAGGAGGGGTCCTGAGGGATTAAGGTCTTAGGCCCAGGTCACAGGAGGAGCACATGGCTCAGAGAGTTTGTTTACATTATAAACAGATTTTTTTTTTTTTTGGTTGCAAGGTTAGGAAGTCCTTAGTCCAGATTATGTCCATATTGTGAAATTCATTCCTCCAGAGTGCCCTTGGTCACAGAGATTGTTCTGTCAGTAGATACCACTATCTACTTGATCTTATGTTTCACTATCTATGGAACCATGGGAAATAAATTTGTATTGTTTGTCAACTATCTAGGAGAAATACAGTCAAATCACCCAGTAGCATCTCAGACAGACTAAAACAGGATGCCAGGAGGAAAGTTTAGAAGAGTCTATGGAAGCCTGGATTCTACCATGCTTATATAAGCTTTACAGGCTGTGAGTTGTGTATGTGTGTGTGTTTATGTGTAGAGACCAGAGGACAACCTCAGGTGTTGTTCCCCAGGATACATTCACTTTTCTTTTGTGAGACAGGGTTTCTCACTGGCCTGGAGTTTGCCAAGTGGCTAGGCTGGCTGGCCAATGAGCTGTAGGGATCCCCTTGCCTCTGCCCCCTAGCACTGAGATTACAAATGTGCATCATCACACCCAACTTTTTTACATGGGTTCTAGGGATCAAACTTAGGTCCTTGTGCTGGCTAGGAAAGTTACCAACTGAGCTATCTTCCCAGGCCCAGGCTATGAGTTTTGAGATCCTGAGGTTACCTACTATGTTGAAATTCAACAAGACTCTTTCATAGGAAAAACAACAACAACAAAAAACTCCCAAGTTTTGTTCTATTTAAAGGAAAGCAGAAAAACATATCCTACACCACATGGTAGGCCCCGTCTCTTCCCTATGGCTCCCGTTTCAGTTCTTAGGAACAGCCCGGAGTAGATGAACTTTTGACCCGAGGGGACAGCATAGTGGTGAGGCAGCATCTCAGGAAACAGAGTGGGGCAAGACAAGATCATGCTTAGCTTTGGTGCAGAAGGAGACACGGTTCAAAAGAAAAATAAAGAGCAGAGAAGTGTGGGGATAAGGGAGAGTTGAAGCAATAGACAGATCAGCCTCCTTGTACAAAAGCTAAGGAGATCTGCTCAGGTGGATCCCATGGTGGATCGACAAGATCTAGAAAACTGGAGCATCCTTCCTCTTCTTTCCAATTCCACTACTTTTAGATCTAATCCTCTACAAGAAGTTTACCAACAGAAAGGGCTCCATGGGGGCTGGAGAGATGGCTCAGCAGTTAAGGGTGCTTGTTGCTCTTGCAGAGGACCTGAGTTTGATTCCCAGCACCCACATGGTGACTCACAACTGCCTGTATCTCCAGTTCCAGGAGATCAGACCTTGTCTTCCAGTCTGTGGGCACTGCATGCATGTAGTGTGCATATATTCATGCAGGCACACACATACACATAAATAAATTTTAAAAGAATGTTCACTGATGTTTCTGTGCCAACCCTGAGCACACAGCCTTGACCCCAGAAAATGTCATCTCTGGATCCTGAGAATTTTCAGGAGTAATTGGAAAATATAGACAATAGTTTCAGAGAATCCTGAGAAAGAAAAAGCTGCTTAGGGGGTTTGCAGGCATGTCTTATACAAGACGGGACCAGTTAGGAGAAGAAAGCAGGGACTGCGTCAAAGATTTGCCTGCCTCCTGTTTCTTTCCATTCTATGCAGCATTACAAATTAACAATTTCTATTTTGATTCTCCTTTAAAAAAAAAACTATTAATAACCCCCCAGTGTTCACTGAGGTTTCAAACAGGATAAGATTGATGGCCTCCACTAACCAACCAGGCCTGCCCTTCCTTCTGCCCCTAGGGCCTACTGTTTTCTAATCCAGCTTCCATTACACCCTGCCTCCCCTGTGCCCCTCCCTGATCATGTTCTGAGACAGAACCTTGCTCTATTAGTCCAGGCTGGCCTCTAACATTATATAGCCAAGGCTGATTTGAACTTACAGCCTTCTTCCTGTCTCAACCTCCCAAGTGCTGGGACCATTCACTCTTAATATATCAGTTCTGCTTGAGACCCAGCTCTCACTTCCACTGAGAGCATCTCTGATGCCCTGGACCAGCAACAGCATCCTCTTGTCTATACATCTGCAGAGCTCTGTGCATACTTGGGACATTTCTTACCATCTTCCTTGTACTACAGGTGCTTTTGTGCTTTCCCTTCTATTATATTATAAACCCCAAGATAGGATTTATTCCTTATTCTGTCTCTTGTTCTATAATACTTTATATTATACTCTAATAAAGTCTACAGTCAGCCCTCTGTATCTATGGGGTTTACATCTGTGGATTCAGCCAACTACCAACTGTAAGTTGGAAATATCCAGGGAATTGCCTCAGACTCTTCTTGTCCTTCTTCCCTAAACAACACATCATCACAACTATTTACATAGCATTTATATTGCATTGGCTACTATGTCATCTACACATGGTCATCAAGCACGAAGTTTGCAGCCATATGCAAATAGGGTGCCATTTTGTTATCTGCACAGGACCAACACCTCAGATATAGATACATCAGGATTAGGTGAAAAGAAATTCTCTGTTAATACTTGCTGAAGTTAATGCTTTGAAAAAGTAATCATGGTGTGATACATACCTGTAATCCCAACATGCCTGGGTGCATGTATGTAATCCCATCATTTGGAAGTAGGAAGATTGCTGTGAGGTTTTTTAAAATATTTTATTTATTATTTTTATGTGTACGAGTGTATTGCCTGCATGTATGTGAGTGCACCCGTGTCATGCAATGCCACGGAGGTCAGAAGAGGGCTTTGGATAACCCTGGAACTGGAGTTAAGGATGGGTCGTAGCCGCCATGTGGGTGCTGGGAATCGAACCCGGGTCCTCTGCAAGAACAGTCAGTGCTCTTAACCACTGAGCCATCTCTTCAGCCCTGCTGTGAGTTTCAAGACTAAGAATTCCAGGCCAATACTGCCTATATAACAAAGCCTTGTCTCAAAAACCCGTGTGTGTGTGTGTGTGCGTGCGTGTGTATGTATGACAGTGTACATGTGTAATTAAATAAGATAAATAAGTACATATATTCGAATGGATTATAATACTTTCTACATTCCTGGAACACAAATGCTCTAAGTACATCTATAATTTATTTGTTTATAATTTGCCCATCTGTCCACTAATTCATTCATTCATTTATTCTTCAATAGAGATTTACTAACTAGCTACCCTCTGCAAAGCAAACAGAGAATAAGAACCATGAGGGCTCTGGCTTTACATCCTTTGGTAAATGCTTATCACTGATGTTTATCAATGTTTATCAGGTTATCATCTTGTTTCCCTTTGTTCCAGAGAGAAAAAGAGCAGAGAAGGGATGAACACCACCATTTTTAGTCTAGTGAAACATGAAGTAGAAATGGCCCCGTGTAAGTTGTGAGCTTTCAATGACACACAGAGATGAAGTAAATGTGGTTTGAATATTGGCTGAGAATATTGCCTATGCCAAGATTCACCTCCATGCATGTTTGCAGATTTCACTTTAAAAATGTATCCGTTACATTTCTTCCTCTTTTTCTCTCTTTCATCCCCATTTTTCCCTCTGGGACTGAAATAACCTCCAATGAACAGTGAAAACCCAACTCTCCATCCAGTGTTATCCAGAAAGGCTCCTGATTTTATAATCACAGGCTGTGTGTGTGTGTGTGTGTGTGTGTGTGTGTGTGTGTGTAGGAGAAGAGACTACAAATACTTGATTGCTTAAGTGGATCGTATTGGGTTATATTTGTTTCTAAATAATCAGGAGACTACAAATACGTGATTGCTTAAGTGGATCGTATTGGGTTATATTTGTTTCTAAATAATCAGGCAACTCTTTAAAGTTGCTGTATATAAGTTACTTTTTAACAACATTGTCGCAAGATGCTCAGTGCCCCAGATCTCGACGCCTATGTAAAGAGTTAGATGTGATGCTTTCTCATCCCGTTATCCTCATCTTGGGGGACATTCAAGCCTCTCCCACTATGCTCTGGGTGTGTCAATGGGCACCCAGCCCATCTGTGCATCCCCCAGCCAGGAACCTCCAGATCTTTCCAGACCTGTTTACAGAGCTCTTGGAAGAGGTGAATGCGTTTCCTCGGTGCACAGACGCTCGCCCCATCCCTTGCCACTGCCTTCCCATCTCTTCTCCCACCGCCCAGCTGCTCCTTCTTTCCTGCATCCTCTCTGCTCCCCTTTATTTCCACCCCCGCCCTCGCGGCTGGGCGCTCCCTCCTCCTCCCCCACGCGCCTGTATTTGGAGCTCCCGGAAGCCGCCGGCGACTCTCCCCAGGAGCAGCGTGACCAACACCGACTCCGGTTCAGGGGGAGGCGGAGGAAGCGCAGGGCCGGCGGGAGGAGGGCGCGAGTGGTCGCAGCCTGCTTTGCATCGCCGAGGCCGGACCCCGGGCGCCGCAGCAGGTCAGGCTGGAGCGCCGAGGCCGGGGAGAGTAGGGGGGCTTGCCGGGGCGCAGGTGTAGGGCGCCCCGAGGCCGGCGCTCGCAAGTTGCTCTCCCGGGGTGGGGTGGGAGGCGGCCTGGGCGCGGGGAAGAAAGGCGACACGGGCTCGGGGACCAGCGGCCACAGGGATGCGAGGACCGGGATGCGGGGATCTGGGATGCGCAGGTCCGAGCGCCGGGGGCGCGGGCGGTCCCCATCTGGGTCAGCGCAACCGGCGCTCCAGCCCCCCTCCAGGCAGGGCAGGACAGGGAGCCGAGCTCGAATCTGGCCGGCCACCGAGGCCTGGGCTGGCAGGCACTGCAGCCTCGGGCCGGTCTAACTTCGAAGGGTTTCCTTAGCTCTGCTCTGTGCCTCCCGGGGTGGCGGGGGCGGGGGGTGCCTCGGTGAGTGTCTTTGAAATGGATCTCGCCAGAGCTACCTCGATGCGAAAGTGCTAGAAAGAAACAGGTCTGGCTTCTCGTGCAGAATCTGACTTGAGACCATGAGTCACTTCTAAAAAATGCAAACGCAGCTGAGGCTTTGAAGGACCGCTCCGAAAATGGTACCCTGTAGCTGACCCTCAGACTTCTCCGCTAGGAGCTTGTTGTGACATCAGCAGGCCTGTCATCACTTTTCGGGCTGATGGTCGGCCATGCACATCAGGGTATTTATTCTCATCAGCACCATAGACATGCTGCGCGCTTAGCAATATGCGTTTGAGTGGATGTTTGGGGGATGTTTGGTGTTCTTTGGGACCAAATAGCCCTGGTGGAGAGGAACTCTCAGCGGCCAAGTCAAGGGCTTTTGCTTACGCAGTTAAGCAAATGCAGAGCAGCACAGGGGAACTTAGGAACCTAGTTTATCGGAATTGGTTGCAGAGTGCTAGACATTTACTGCCTATATTGATTTCATTTGTTTGGTTGATTGGTAGAGGGGTCTCGCTCAGGAATTTCAGGCTGGCCTCGAATTCGAAGCAATCCTCCTGCCTCTAATTTTCAGTGCTGAGATTTACAGGTATGCATCACTATCCCTAGCTTGTTTTTTTGTTTTTGTTTTTTGTTTTTTTGTTTCTTTGTTTTGTGAGGCAGGGTCTCACTCTGTAACCCAGACTGGCCTTGAACTCATTATATAACCCCAGGCTCACCTCAAACTCGAAATCCTCTTGCCTCAGTGCTGGATGACTGGTGGGCACCTTTTATCTGGCTGGATTTCTTCTAATTTAAGGAGCTTGCCTTAGAATTCTTGCGGAAATAGCTAGGACCACTTCATGTAAAATCACAGGGGTGGTATTATCGTTGGAATGATTATAGTCGCTGGTGTTTAATTAGGTTGTAAGCCTGCTGAAGGCAGGGAGGGTTGGAGGTGATTGACCCCACTCTGTGGAGTTATTGGTTCACAGCCCATTAAAAACAGGTACTGAAAGTTTGTGAAAGTAAATCAATGGTTTGCATCCAAAGTATGCTTTCTTCATGATACCGCATATTTTCCAAGAAAAGATCATTTCTCCACAAATCCCAAAATCTCAAAATCCTTAATAAAGTTAGACTTAACTGATCCCAGGAGGGTATAGAAGAATGTTGATGGTGAAAACTTATGAAGATAATTGCCAGCTGATCTTTGCAAGTAGGAAGTAGGTTTTCTTCCCCTTAAGGCTGAGAAGCAAAGGTACCTGGTCTCTTGATATGATACAGTGTAGAGGTTGCTATACTTTCTGAATAAAGACCTAGATGGTTAATAAGTAGGTTTTGTGGTCTCTAGTAATTACTCAGGTTTGCTGTTGATGGGTTGAAAGTGGCTGAGGACAATACAGAACCATTGTGTTTCACTGGACTTGTGGATATTGAAGTTTAGTTCATTTTCACCAGTAACAAAATACTTTTCTTTTTTCCCTCTAAGACGTTAAAAGAAAATACAACTATTCTTAGCCTGGAGGAGAAGGAAGAAACTTTTTCTGCTGGCCATAGATAGCTTTTCCCCACTCTAGAATAGAGTCTTTGGTGGGCCAGATCTAAGTGCCTAAATTACGACGCCCCCCCCCCGAAGTTAAATGCCCCTAAGAACAACATTAACTTATTTTATACATGTTGGTATTTTATTCTGCTTTGAGTATTTCCCAACAGACACTTTTATGCATGAGGTTTAATTTGTTTTGAATTTGTAATTATCATACATAGAAATAAGCCAAGTGCATGTAACTTATGACCATTGTATTTAAAGATGCATCTCTCAACTCATTACCAAGTTTGCAAGTCAGGCTTGAGAATTAGAGAGTTGAGAAAAGATAACTCTCAGAGCAGAAAAAATGGTTAAAAAGACCATATATCTAATAAAGTGCTCATATCCACAATACATAAAAAGCCCTTCTAATCTACTAATAAGATGGTCTAATGCCAAAGTATACCAAAAGAGAAAGATAAATGTTGGCTAGTGAGCCCACAAGAAGATACTCAACATCATTATTCATCAGGTACGCACAAGTCAAAACCATGTAAGATATCATCACACTCACAAGTATGATTATAATTAAAAAGACAATCAATAGCAAGTGTTGATGAGGATGGGGGTGGGGATTGGAAAACTCAAACAATGCTGGTAGGAATATGGTGCATTCCCGATGAAATCTCCACAGTATGGAAGTCTAACAAGGTCTGCATAATGACAAAACCAATTGACATCCCAAGGTGGATGGGGGAATATCACAGGGGTCCTACCTCAAGATGAAGAGCTATAGGCAATCAATGGATACTGAGAGCGGAGAATCAGTTTCTCCAGGGACTAACTCCCTGAGAGGCTATCTAATCCTGTGGGCAAATCAAAGCACAGGCATACATGAGCACCAATAAATGGACTCAGTGTGTTTATATATCGGACTCTGTGTGTTTATATATATATATATATATAATTTATTATATATAATTTATTTTCTATATTTGCATATATGCATGTTTGTGTATGTAACAATAATAATCAAGCAGACAAAAAACTGAGAGGGAGTGGGGGGAACATGAAAATAATGCAAAGACAATACTTATATATGAAATTCTCAAAAATAACCAAGTTAAAAACTGAACTGGGCGTGGTGGTGCACACCTTTAATCCCAGCACTCAGGAAACAGAAGCAGGTGGATATCTGTGATATTGAAGTCAACCTGGTCTACATGGTGAGTTCCAGGCCAGCTGGGGCTACAGGGAGACCCTATCTCAAAGAATAAAAAAAAAAAATTAAATTAAAAGTTAAAAAAATTTAAATGGTGCATTCAGTTTGGTCGACAAGAACAATTCCTCAGGTTCAACATACAGTTACAGTATGGCCTAGCATTTCCACTGTAAGTCAAGAGAAATGTAAACATATGTCCATGGGGAAAAAATGCTGGTTATAGTGGCACAGGCTTTTAATCCCAGCACTCTACTTGAGGGGCAGAGGTAGGCAAGTCACTGTGAGGTTGAGGCCAGCCTGGGATGGTCTATATAGTGAGTTCTAGGCTACCTAGGGCTACATAGTGATACTTTATCTCAAAAACCAACCAAACAAAAACCTATACACGGAGTTGGTGGTATAGCTCAGAGGTAGAATACTTGCTTAGCATGAGCAAAGCCATGGATTCAGATCCAGGTACTACAAAAATAAACAAAACAACAACAACAAAAAGTATACACGGATATTTAGAGGAACACCATTGATAGTAACTAAAAGGTAGAAACACCACAGCTGATGAATGAAGAGGTACGCTATGACATACCCATGCAATGGATCTTATCAAAAAGGAAGTAATTAAAGTGCTTGCTAATCAAGCGTAAGGACCTGAGTTCATTTATGTGAATGATCCCCAGCATTCACATAAAAAGCCCGGTGCAGTGGAGCATGCCTGTAATCTCAGTACTCGGGAGGCTGAATCTCGCTAGCCAGTCAGTCTAACTCAATCAGTGAGGTCCAGGTTCAGTGAGAGACCTTGTTTCAAAAACATAAGATGGAGAGCAATTGAGGAAGATATCTGACATCTGCCTCTGACCTCCACACAGGATCATCCACACATCACACACACACACACACACACACACACACACACACACACACACACAGGTGTGCAGTACTGTAACATGCTACAGTTAACAGTACGTGAACCTTGATATCAGCCATGGGCTGGTGAGACAGCTCAGTGGGCAAAGGCATTTGAATGACCTGAGTTTGCCTCCTGGGATCCACATAGTAGATCAGGAGAACATCTGCTCTCCACGTGCCCCCCCACACACATAAATAAATGTGATAACAATTTTTAAAAAAACAAAAGTCACAAAACCCAAATATTACATGAGCGCATTCATATGAAAATGTTTCAAAGGAATCAATAAAGACAGATCTGTTGATGTAGTTAGGACAGGGGAGTCTAGTAAAGGAGTGAAAGACACAGAGTTTCTTTTTGAACTGATGGAATGGGCAACAGTTGCACATATCTGTGTGTAATAAAATAATTGAACACTTTAAGTGTGTGAACTGAATGATGTATAAATTGTGTCTCAGTCAGACTGCTGGAGCGAAGAGGGCTCAGGGGAAAAAAAAAAAGAACAGCTTAAGTTAGTCTTCCTTTGCCCTCCATGTGATTTCCTGTCTCCCTCCTAACCTTGATTTTTTGTGTTAACATTCCCTAATTTAATTGTGAAACATCCTATGGCTTATGAATGAGTGCCTAAGTAATCCTTGTTTAGACTCAATTCGTTTTTGTTTTTTTGAAAGGTATATATAAAAACCTCACTTTTTCCCTCTTTTTGTTTGCCTGCTTTGGGGGTTTGTTTTGGGGATATAGTCCCCTGTAACTCAGGCTGGCCTCAGACTCACTAGGTAGTTGAGGTTGGCCTTAAACTCTTGACCTTCTTGCCTCCCATCTCCCAAGTACTAGGTTTGCTGATCTCATTTTCTTAAAACTTCCCTTGACGGTTTTAAGAATAACCTGTATTGTTACATGAAGTCATGTCATGGTCTCTGG